ATATAAAGCTCACTGAATGGCAGACTTTTTAAAATATTTTATTCAGAGACTGGCAGTAAATACCCACTTCCTGTGTCATACCCATTTGTTTTACTGTCTCAATGGAATACACTAAGGTGCATGAGCTTAAGTGTGGCATTTATATTTTTCTAACTGAAGCCTGATCTCCTATGGCAACTATTTTCAAACTTGACATCTAAGTCTAACAGAAAGGTGTATTTAACCAATTTTGCAATTTCTCAAGTTACATTTGAAATTTGGGGAGGGAAATTATATATTTCAATATGATTAACACATGAAAGTGTTCCAAAAGTTTATTTTTAGGACAAAAACAAATATCTAAAAACAATCACCTTGCAACTATGTGTTCATAACATTCTTATAGCATGCTGAACAGTTTTTTTTTTTAAATAAGCAAAGTTTGAATGAAATTAGAGAAACTGTTGTAATCTCATGGTCTTAAACTTCTAATCATTACTTTCTGGAAGAGAAATGTTGAATATTAAAGAATATTTAGAAAAGAGGTCATCTGACTTTCCAAAGCCCTGGAGTTGAACTTGGTGGCAAAAGAAGGGAATGCATTTGTTTTTTATTTATTCTTTAAAAAATAAGTGTATCGGGGCACCTGGTGGCTCAGTCAGTTGAGTGTCTGACTTTGGCTCAGGTCATGATCTCACAGTCTGTGAGTTCGAGCCCCGCGTCGGTCTCTGTGCTGACAGCTCAGAGTTTGGAGCCTGCTTCAGATTCTGTGTCTCCCTCTCTCTCTGCCCCTTCCCTGCTCATGCTGTGTGTCTCTCTGACACAAAAATAAATAAAAATGTCAAAAAAAATTTTTAAATAAGTGTATCGATTTTTGAGAAATGGTAAAAAAGCATTTCCACTGTGAGACATAAAAAGTGTATTATTATTATGAGGACTATAAAGAAAGCATTTTTTTTTTGTAAGCTAAGAATTTTCATCCTTGACCCACTTAAAAATGTTAAAAAGAAACTGGCTGAACAGTGTACTAGATGCATGAGCAGCATGGTCTCTGTGTGCTCCAAACTGGAATGAGCTATCCAGAGGCAAGCACACTTGATGAATTAAATAAAACATTCCTAATTTTTGTTTTAGTGTTGCCCATTTGGGAACTTTTCCTGTTCTGTATTAAATTATTTGATGAAAACACATTTTATATTAACTTTACGCTTAGACTTTATCATAAAATATGAAAATAGGTACTGTCCCATGAAATTTAATTTCATTTTTAGGCATATTGCTAAGTGTCTGAGTTGGTGTTTGTGTACTACATTTGCTGTACAATGTATTTCTTACTACAGGTTCACTTCCTAAATTAAAGTTAGAAAAATCCCTAGAGGGGAACACTAGTGCTACTAATACTCTGAATGCAGGAGATTAGGTAGAGCATTCTGATTTCTTCCTGCACTCCTGCCCCCCGACCAGCCAGTGACAAGCTCCTCTACATGTTCCTGGACCACACAGCGCTCGCTCCTTGGTCCCCTTATGCAGTGAGCACTCCAGCATGCTCCCCACTCCAGGTGACCTGAGAAACAGCCCTAGCCCATCTGCGTTCCAGATTTTCAGAAATCCTATCAGAATCTGATTCTCTGATGCCAATTCCCCAATAAGGTTACCACCCCTAGTAGTGATTCAATATCATTTGTGCATTTTTATTGTTAGTTCAATAGACTTCAGACAGGTTGAAGGGGTAAGTCATCTTGAAGGAAGAAAAGCTTGTGTTTTTCATATGGCACTACTCAAAGCTAATGCAGTGAAATAAGCATGCTCAAACACTACTAGCAGAAGCGCAAAATGATACAACCAGATCACGTTAGTAATATGTATCAAGAACCTTAAAAAGGTCCATTGCCTTAGATCCAATTAATCTCTTCTTTATGATAAATTCTAAGGAAAGAATCAAATTTCCAATTAGGGTGTTCCTTACAGAGTTATTTACAAAAATACTGTTTTCAATTTTTCTCAAATGTCCATCGGGGTTTTATTAAATCCCAAATTATCTCTATAATAGAGTATTTGTCAATCACTAAAAATCATGTTTTCAAAAAATTTAATGACAAGAGAAATATATTAAATGGAAAAAGGAAATAAAAAATATAGAGTGGAGAATCCCAACTTTATTTTAAAAAACACATTAGCAAAGATATGATTGCACAGAAAATACAGAATAGGATCTTGATTTTATTATATGTGTACATGCTTTATTTACTCTTTAGATATGCTTCTTGTAGTGAATCACTTATATCACCCATGTCTTAATTATACCTATAACTGCATTATATAAATCACATCCTTCGTTTAATGATATCTTTATAAACCAGATAAACACCATAGCCTACAACTCCTTTGCATGATTTATTTTTCCCAATGCCACTGCATACCTTCAGCTGCCCCAGCATATGGGAGTTTACATACTAAATTTGATTTTAAATGCATATTAATGCAACATTAACTATAAACTTTAGCCATGGTTTTGAACCTGAGTTTCTAGGATCTGAGTGATGCCAGACTTGTCTATTTTTCTCCAATCACATAGCTCTGTGTAGGTAGATTTGACACTTACCTGAAATCCTCTCTTACAGGCTCCCTCAATCTCATGGAAGTCATGTTCTGTGCACAGAGGGCAAGCTTCGGCACTCTCCCACAGAAAATAGAATGTACACCCATCACAGGTGCCTGCTGGGCACTTGCTGAAATAAAAAATGAAATGACAGCTCTTATATTCAGCCAAGTCCAATAAACATTTGAGTGCCTACTGCATACTGGAAAGCAATGTGTGGGTGCAAAACCACAACTCCACACCTATTAGGATAGCTACAATCAAAAAGACAGGTAATAACAAGTTGCAAAAATGTTAAGAAATTAGAACCTATATACACTGCTAATGGGACTGGAAAGAGAGAGAAGTGCTTTGTAATAAGGTGGCAGTTCTTCAGACCATTACAAACAGTTACCACATGATCCAGTAATTACGCTTCTAGATACAAATCCAAGAGAAGTAAAAACGTTTATCCACGCAAAAACCTGTACATGAATGTTCATAACTGCATTATTTTTAACAGCTCAAAGGTGGAAACAACTCAAATGTCCTTCCAGCAGATGAAGAGATAAACAAATGTGATATTACCATTCTATGGGAAATTACTTGGCCATAAAAAGGAATGCAGAAGTAATACATGCCCCAACTTGGATGAACCTCAAAAATATACTAAGTAAAAGAAGCCTATCAAAAATTCTATGTATTTGGGGCACTTGAGTGGCTCAGTAGGTTAAGCGTCCAACTCTTAATTTCGGCTCAGGTCATGATCTCACTGTTCATTAGTTCAAGCCCTTCCTTGAGCCCCACATCAGGTTCTGTGCTGACCACGCGGAGCCTGCTTGAGAGTCTCTCTTTTCCTCTCTCTGTCCCTCTCCTGCTTGCTCTGTCTCAAAATAAATAAGCTTTAAAAAAATTCTATATATTAAATGATGTTATTTTTTATAAAAGTCCAAAATAAGAAAATCCACAGCAACAGTAAGTTAGTGGTAAGCTTGGAGTATGGAAGGGAGCTAAGGTAAAGAGAAGCAATAGCCAAAGGGTATAGGTCTTTTTAAGGTGATGAAAAAGCTCTAAAAATGACGATAGTGACGGCTACATATATCTATGAGTATACTAATAACCACTGGCTTGCCTGTTTTAAATGGGCAACCTCTATGGCACGGGAATTTTGTCTCTCTAAAGCTACTTTTTTTTTAATTTAAAGGAGAGACAGATATAATGACAAAAAAGTTCTGGGAGAACTTCTTGGTGGAAGGCATGCCTAAGACAAGTCTAGAATATCCAATAGGAGGTAGCCAGAAGAGAAAGGAAGAAAGTAAAGGAATGCCTGCCAGAGGGATGAAATGGTAGACGGATTGGAAGGAAATTCCAAGCTGGTCATGATCACAATGGCTTCAAGAGCAGGACAGTGCGTGGGCACAAGGCATATAGGCAAGAACTAGGTGGTGGATGGAGGTGCCATTTCTGTTTGAAGTAATGTGTTTAGGCAAAGGTTTCAGGGAAAAGAATGATGAACTAGACCATGGTCTCGACAGTGCGGTGGGGTGGGCGGGGCGGGGCGGGGGGTAGGGGGACATGAAAACAAAACAACCTGAAGTGAAAAGACAAACAAAACAACTACCAGATCGACACACAGCTGAAGGATGGAAATGACTGTGCACTCCTGGTTTGCCTCAGCCAGACGATGACTTCTTTCAAGAGGCAGTTACTGTCACCACCCGGTGATGACGCAGGGGCCTTAGACACAGGTGCAGGATCGCACTGAACCAGGCAGGGCTGGAATGGAGACTTTTTGAAACTGCTTGCTGGTGGGTGGGCCTATTATATCAGTTTGCCTCCTTCCTTTTAGGGACAGATAAACACAGCATGGATAAAATTAAACTGCTTTTACTGTGTAGAGAATCCTTATTGACTGAAGCAGGAAGTTATGTGGAAAGGTTCTGGTGGGAATGGCTGTTTTGTTCATGAATTAATTAAAATGGGGAGAACACTATTCCCTTCATTTGTCTACTATACTTCCCTTAAATTAAGTGTGCAAATTCAGGGCAGTGCCCTGAAAACCTCCTTTAGACCTTTGTTGCTGCTGAGTACAGGTGTCCTGAAACACCTAGGGCAAAAGATAGACACACAATCATAGGGAGAACCCCAAAACACCCCTTCTTAAGTTTTAACTTCAGATGCCTTTCTGATGATAGGCAGTCCCAAACTGTAATTTTCGGTCTACCAGCGAAGTAAAATTCCATACCCTCAGTATATATTCTCAGGGTACTCTACAATACCAACCCTGACACAGAAGTCTACAGTGCCTAAAAATGGACTACGTTTTTAGAGGCCTACCCTTCCAAATGCTTGCATGCTGTAGACCAAGTCAACGTGGTGAGATGTAAATAAAACCATGATTCTGTGTAACGTGCTTCAGAAAGAGAGGCCTGGTACTATGAGAGCTAAGAACAGTGATGAAGGGGGACGCTTTGGAAAAATGGCTTAACTCTTACCTGCCTCGACTTGTTTGTAAAAGGGAGTAAAGTATATTTAGACCAAGAAACAAAAAGAGATTTAAAAAAAAAATGGTAAGTACAAGAGATGAAAATCATGCCACCTAAAAAAATGATCCCTACTTCCCATCAGTAAAACCAACTCAACATTGCACTTCTGAAAAAAATTGAGTAACCTATCAGAAATGTTTTTCAAGAACACAATTATTATTTGCATAACAATGACTTGAAACTTTAAAGGTAATTAACTTTTTTGATCATTTAGCAAAAATTACCAAAATACTTTCCTGCTCAATTCTCTCCTTCCCAAATTATTTTGTTTTATCTTTCCCACACAGAGACATTTTCAAGGGTGGTGAGGGCTGTTTATCTTGGGAAAATAAAAGAATAAGTTTGGTAAAATTCGAGAAAAAAAGCTGAACAAATAAAAAAGAAAAGGGGAAAATTAATCAAAGTTGCAAAGAGCTCTGCAGAGAAAACCTGGGTTACAGGTGTGGCTGGACTTGCAAGTGATTTTGTGTTTTTCCACAAGTGATTCGGCCCCTCCCCCATGCTGTTTCAGAGCTGTAATTTATCAGAAATGAGATGTCTGTTCCACTGCCTTCACTGGGTTGTTATAAAGGACAAAATGAGAGAACAATTTGGGAAAGTTTAAAGTACTGCAAAATATAAAAGACTATTAACAATTCACATCACTCTCTATAGAACTGGGAGAAGTACAGAATTGGGGGAAAAAATCAAGACATTGATATAACTTATAAAGCTGCCATTAGGTGTCAAAATACTGCAATGATTCAGTGTCTTTCCCCGGTAGACTCCACTTTTTAAAATATACTCTTAGGTTAAAAGCAGTTTAGTTTAGAATCAATTCTTCAATTCTTTGAACCCAACGAATCATTTACAATGTGGAACATCCAAATTTGATTCTTTGTTATAAACGTTAAGTTCCACAGTTGAATCAGCCCTTCCCTGTGAAATGACAAGGATGTAGGAAGCAGTACTAATTTCAATAGTGCTTATATATAAAAGGAAAATAGGGGAAAAAAAAGATGCAAGAGTATATATATATATATATTTTTTTCTTCTACTAAGAACAAAAAAGCAAGTAGTAAGATAGACAAACACTTTAATGCCAGATATGTGAAACCTTTTTCCCTTTGATGACCTGTGCCACCACCATCTCTACCCCCTACCCCCTGGCCTTGTAAAGGTGTCACTAATTGTGCTTCTTTTATAATTTTTGATCCACAAGATCACCATAGAAACCAGAGAGTAGATGTCTAAAGAGCCAGTACATAATCCTGGAGAGCTGGGGTATGCAAGGCTAGAATTCCACAAGATGACCCCAGGGCTGTGAACTCTAGGTAGAGAAACCACCATCAACACAAAGGATAACCAGGTGCATCCTAATTTGGTTTTACTGTTAAACGAGGAAGACTTTACAGTTTCCTTATTTTGCTCTGGAACTGCCTTACCACTGCAGATAGCACTGGCCATGTGTAAGAATTCAGATGAATCTTTTTTTTTAAGTAAGTGATGTCTTGGATTCTAAATTGGATACATTTTCTGGGGGTAAAGTGGACTGAGCTATGAGTTATTAGCGTCCCCTAAATGAATCATCTTACCTAAAGCAGGGTCTACTTGGTTCATCTACTAATTCATGGACAGTAATCTTAATTTCTTATGAACTATTACAACCCAATACTCAAACTATTGCTAATTGTTTAGACAGTTGATAAAGCAGTGTAAACTTGTTTTTGCCTGAACTTTATGCAAACTCCAAAGTTAAAATAAATTCACGTACGGTGTAAGTATGTTTCGATCCCTTCTACAGTGGGTCTCAGGAGACCAGGGGGAAAGGCCATAGTCTTATATGCCTAGAACTTTTCTCATTTGGTGTCAGAGCACTAATGTTACTCAGACGCTTTCATGTGAGGCTTTTCTGGGTTTCTTGGGGTTCCCCTATCTCGGAGTTCACAGACGGGCATTGTCTGGCATAGGAGATGCTGACTAGCTGCCAGTAACTCCCTTCGGCTTTGGCTTCTGAGAAAGCTCAACCTTTCTCTGCTAAGAATGCCAATGGGCAGAAAGCCTTCTTGTGTGGGGTCCATAAAATGGCTTTGGATCTTGCTCCAATTTTGTTTGCCCTGAGGCTGAAGAGTATAAATCACTTATGACTGAGTTTGAACATAAGATTTTTTGACCTATGCCTCTTAAATCCAGGGATATAAAATTCTACCAGTCTCCTGCAAAAACCGCCCTTTTTACAGATTCCCCCCGAGGTTAATTACCAAAAGCCAGAATCCGATCAAGATCTGTACAAACTACATTAGCTGATACTCCCCAGTCCCTTTTACCTCCAGGCTCTGCAAAATCTGTCAAACTTTTGCCATCCTTATTTCAAAATGGATCCTTAAACTTTATGACTGTTTCATGACATTTTTATGTCATGTCTTAACATTACTCATTAGTGCTGAAGCATATAATTTTAACAATTCTGTATTAGAATTTTCCATTTCTTAATCATAATGGGTTTTTACTTGTTGCTCATAGTGCTTTTATATGCCTCCTCATTTTCATTGTTCTAAGAACATATTTGGCTTTAAATTTTTAAATTCTATTGCCTTTTAAATTTAACTTGTGCAGATTTAGATATCTATTATCTGTCCATAAATAGTTCAGAGGAAAAAGAAAACAAGGAACTCCGTTAACCAATCATTATCCTCTGGCTCCTACCAACTCAAAATGGATAGACATCCTGGCTTCAACAGAACTCCCCCAAAACCAAAGAAGATACTACAATAGTGTCCTATAGGTCCAAAGACTTTGACAGAGAAACTCTCAATCAGAGCCTGTGGAATAAAGCCTTGGTACATTCAACCTCTGAACGCCTTCAGGACAGATCTCTGAAGCATCCCTTTTGTGAGATATAATATTCTCAGAAGCTATGCTTTCTTTCTTTCTTTTTTTTTTTTTTTTAATGAGCAACAGCCCCTCTCCACTTGGCCCTGAGACACCCACTAGCTTGACTCCATCTCTGAGACTGAGGCTACACTTAAAACTGAAGATGAACTTGGATTTTGAAGGAGGTTTTGGCAAAATAGTTTTAGACTGATTTATGAACCACCCAAGCAGTTAAATATAGTTATAAGTTGAGGGAAAGAGAAAGAGAGAGCACGATGTTTTCCTCTAACTCATACCATTACTAAAGATGACCTTGTTGGAGGGAGGATGACTCATTTTAAACAAGGCACCAATAACTTGCAGATCAAATGAGTTATCCCCCAGATAAATGTGATATTTGTCTCTCTGCCTAGTGTGCTTCTTTGCAAATCTCTACCTGTGAAGAACTGGAGGGAAAAAACAGCAAGATGAAAACATGATGGTAAGAACAGAACGAGACACAGTCAGGACAACATTCCATCCTGAATGTGCCAACACAGTTATACAGCCTGGGTCCTCAGTGTTTCCTACTGTGTGAAATGAATGGTTCTGACTGAGGGATCTCTAAGGTGCTAGGACATCTCCATTATCAGAGTAAAAATGATTCCTTTTGCCCATTTTCTAATAATGCGTTTTCAAAACCTTTCCATTAATAGAAATTTCTCACATATTTGAAAGAACTCTTCCGACACAATGCTGGGTCCAAAGTTTTCCTAGTGAAAGAAGAACTTCCAAGTTTTCCAACCACCTCCGATCATGACTGGAGGCTGGCAAAGTTTCTTAGGCAGAGGCTGGAGGGGGATCTATTCAGGGATATCAGCAGTCTACTTTGTTACAAATTCATTTGCTGGCCAAGATACAAACTGCACCAGATAATCCCAAAGTCCAGCCTGGCTCTCAGATTGCATCTGCCACAGACATCATGCTGCTAAATTTTTATCTAAAATGTCTCACACCTTCCAGACACTTTAGAATTAGAAACCAACTGCATTTGCCAGACCAAACAGACAGGTTGTGGTTTTCCAATTGCAGATTAGTAGGCAGCCCTGATAATTTGCTGTTTGCTGTTCCCTCTAAACTTCAGATGAGATACATAGAGAATACACATTGCCCCTTTTCTCCTGCCCCACGACTCTGTTAAGACATTCCCATTTTCCCAGGTCACCAAGATACAGAGCCCCAACCAACATCACTACTACTAAAGTCTCCTTTCCTGGTTTGCCAAGATTCTTGGCCAAGAGAGGAGAATTCCCGGGGGTGGCATCCCTTCCAAATTGCCAAAGTCTGCTTTCTGAGATTTTTTTGGTTACAGCATATGAGATTTCTCGAGGCAAGTGCCTGGTTAGCACCTTCCTCTCTTATGGAGATCTTAAACCTCCCCAAAGAAAACTGCAAAGTAAATCTGCTTCAAAAGTAGCATAAGAAACTGGGCTCTGTTAACAATTCCTTACTGTTAGTAGGAAATCTTTATTCAGCCCCACAGCTAAAAAAAAATTCTAATTATTTCAGGACAAGCTGCTGTTTTTCATGTTCTGATCCCAGAGCTCCCCCTTGTGCCCTAATGGGAAACTGATTCAAGAAAGAACTAAAACACACTTAGATTGTTAGGTTCAAGCAGTTCCCTAGAGCAATGGTCCTCAAACCTCGATGTGCATGACAATTATATACAAAGTCTTATCAAATATGGGTGAATGATTACCCTTTAGACTAAGGTACTTTAAATTAGCTTTTCAGAAAATTAAAATGCAGAACAAAGTTTGAGAATTTGTCTCAGTGGGTTAAGATTAGTAGTTCCTAAATTTTAATATGCTTAGGAATTGTCTTGCAGGTTTTCTTTTAGGATTTTGTTTTTAAGTAGTCTGTACACCCCGTGGGGAGCTCTAACTCAAAACTCCTAGATCAAGACTCGCACGCTCCTCCATTTGAGCCAGCCAGACTCCCAGAACTGTTTTGTGTTTAAAAAATATATATTCCTATGCTCAACACTCAAGATATTCTTTATGTTTTTGGAAAGATACAGAAATTGATTTTTAAAAGAAACCCCAAGGTATTCTGCCACGAGTGATCTTGAGAAACCCTGGCAAAGACAGTTATATTCCTGAAGTAGAATAAACTACTACAGGTTAAAGGAAAAACTACTTTTCCCCTCCCCACAAGGAAAAACTCAGTTTCTAAGTGCCATAATTTAACATCAGGAAACTTTTTTTTTTTACCTTAACACATCAGAACCCACCTTGGGAGAGTTAGAGTGGATATATTTTCTCATGGACAGATCTAATCTTTGGTAATATTATCTGCTTGGATGAGACACCTGGAGAGGCTTTGGAAGCCATCCAGGTAGACTCCTAGAGGCTAGACTCTGAGAGGTTCATTGCTAAGTCCAAGGAAGGACGTTATAAGTGCTACCATTAATAGAACAAGCATCTTAACTCAAAGCTATTTGGGGGGATATCAGGGAATAATTAAAGAAACTCTAAACACACCTTCTCATAAACAAAGGGTGGTTTGCTGCCTTGACTCTAGCTTGGATGCTGGCATAGGGATCCTCCACCAAATGATGCCCTTGAGCATCAGGCTCCCTCTGCCTCTTACACTGATGTCTAGTAACTTTTATTATGTTCTCCTCTGATCATATACTTCTCTCACCTTGAAAAGGTGAAAAGAAAAATTAATTCCTAGATCTATGAGAACCAGAGAAACACAGTTGGTTAAGAGGTGAATACGAGTGTCCTTTTGTGCCCCAAAGTAAACCCACAATATTGATACCCCTGGAAATACTTTTAAGATGCTGAAGCAATGCTCAGACCACTGATTTCCAATACTGATGTCCTGATATGCGTAAGCAAGATAGCTTAAAATCCCTCAATGGTTACTGCGAAACTATCAAAAACAAAACTAAGTCAGTCATTTTCTTTTAAATAAAATTTAATATAAAATTTTATTTAAAAGAAAATTATATATGTATATATATATACACACACACATATATGTGTATATATATATATATATATATACACACACACACATATATATTTATGTTAACTTGAGAAATACGTTCAAGTCGAACTATGATAAAGGTACCTTAATCCAACAAATATTAGAAATAAACAATCTACATACAGAACAATGAATAACTGCAAAAAACAAAAATCAGCAGACATTTAAGTGTCATTCACACCATGAAAGCATTATTTACGTTGACAGTTCTGAGTCCATGAAATTGCCCATTTTCTCCTAGTGTTTCTACCCAATATGGACTGTAGAAGTCAAATCTAGACTGTGGAGAGCTACTGCCTCAACTTCAGCAAGTCAAATGAACTGTATTATATATTCTAGAGATCAGATTCTACCTTGGTGATTCTGCCACTATTAATCAGAAAACGGAGGAGCTGGAAATGGATCATACAAATTATCCACCCTGGCCCCTATTCTCTCACAGAGAAAGAAACCATGATTCAGAGGTTCAATTACTTCAATCTAGATCACCCAGGTGGTTCGTTGTTGATCAAGAACTATAAGCCAGGTTATATATAATCCAGCTCTTAAGGAAATTGGGACTAAACAGTAAGAATAAATACAAGGATACAAACACTGTAATTATATGTTGAAATAATTTTCAAGGCAATTAAGCAAACAGGAGGCGAATATGTCTTTGAGGAGATTGGGATGTACTGAGATTTGTGAGGACTTGTTCCTCTTAAGAGACACACAGCATATCCCTATAATAAAAACCTACATATTCTTCTGTTCTCTTTCTGCTTTGCATTCATAGGGACCATGTTTTAACATAGTAAGATTCTGGGGAGTTTTGATTCCTCACAATAAATACAAATGTGAAACAATCACATAGAAATAAGAATACCTGGGGACTGAAATCATTCCTGCTCCTGGTTTAGTAGGATTGCACCTCATTTTCACAGCAGTTGATCGGCCATTAACACAAGATGTTGTAGTTGTAGAAGACCTATTGAAAGGCAAATGTTATTCCACAGAACAGACATGACATAGGTCACCAAGACATAAATATCCTGTGTAGAACTACTTCTATACTCTATGAAACAATGAAAAAGAAAAATGTGTCCAAGTTCACTAATTGAGAATTTTAATACAAACTGGGCTCATTTGCTTTCACTGCCAATGAAGAGTTGACTATTTTCTCAGCTAATGTGATAAGCTATCATCAAGGTGTTTAGCAAAGTTACTATAATTATAATCAAAGTCACAATCAAAAAACATTTTTAAAGGGAAGAGAAGCCATATCTACTTTTGCTGTTATTAAGATGTGTGAATTACAAATACTGTCTAGACAATGAAGTAGAGTCTCTTTATTGCCTAATTTAAAAGAATATATATAACAGAAAAAAGACATCTATCTGAACTATAACACTTGCAAAATATTTCATGTTTCCTACTTTATACTCAGTCTTCCATTTACAAACTAATCACTGATTATCTGTTAAGTATAAGCTACGACTCTAGGCACCCTGAAGAGACATTCTTTTGATTAAAATTGTCAAGGTAAGCAGCATCTTCACTTACTTATAAAAGAAATGCACATCTGGTATTTGGCTAGGTGGAAGTGGAAACATATCTTCTTTTATATTAATATTTTGCAATGTAGTTTCAACTGTCACTCCTAGATAACAATAAAAAAAAAGCTATTAAGCAATACAGGAAAATTAGGTTTATTTAGTTTCTGTGTATATGAATAGAAAACAGCTTCACTTTGATACTGTCATTTGACCAGAAATATCATATTAAATTAATGCGTTCATGGTAAGACTAAGAACCTTACGAAGCTCTATAGAATAAAAAAATAAAACAATCTACTCCCTAGCTCTGTTATTTTGTTTAAGTCACCTCACTTCCCTGGGTGTTATGTCCTAATTTGTAAAATTCAAGAAGTAATTGAGATAATCTCTAAAGCCCCTTCCAGCTCTGACATTTCAATAACCTAACAATATAAAAAGTTAGTTTTTGTAGAACAAGCTGGGTTATTTTGCTAACACAGCTTTCAACTCAGTATAGATATACTTGAGAAAACAAAAAATTTTGTGCCCTAATAATTTCCAGAAAATAACTCCAAAACTTGCTTAATCTAAAAGTCAGGCATTTTTTCTCATTCCTGGTAGGCAAAATGAGAGCAGAGCCAAAATGCAAGCAATAACAGCAACCTCTCCTTCAGACGAGGAGTTCTGATGCTGAGCACAAGCTTGGTGACTGACCTTGGTGCTGAAAATTAAAGCTCAATTCCTCTGGAATCTATAGCAATGGTCCTCAAATCTACTGTATGTTAGAATCACCTATGAAGCTTGTTAGATTGATATGTTGTAAAATGTTTTATCACCATACCAGAGGTTCTAATGAACTGGATCCCTAAAAATAACTGAGAGGTCATTCTTCAAACTTTCCTATACCTTCCAGTCCACAAAGACAGAAGAAACAGGTAGGGAATAAAACTTGGCACATTCACCATTGCTAAGTGTCACCGGCTTACTTCTCATACAAGAAAATATTATGCAAACTGGTGGTAAATATTATGATTTAGATTTATACATTACTTTTTTTTTACTATTATTTTGTTTAAAGTTTTGGTTTCCAAACTTATTTTGCTTCTTAAATTCCTAGAGAACTTGATGAAAGGCACAGACTCTCAAAAAACATCTTATCACATGAGTTAATATGTAAACTCAGAAGATACTTGTACTCACTTAGATGGATCAATAGATCTCAATTGTAGGAGCTTTTTAACCATGTTACAAAGGGATTAGAATTGCCTATAGCCTCCATCATCTATGGCAAATACTAACACAATGACAAGTTATCAGTACTATAATTTTAGAATAACTGCATGCATGCATATAGGAACGAAATGAAGCTTACCTAAAAATGTATCTGCCAGAATGATGGACTGTGATGATAAGGCTGCTCGGAAACCCTTACTCTCAGAGGGAATAATAGTTGACTGGCATACATATGCTCCTACCAAATTCGTGTAATCATCTGACCCTGCCACCATTTCCTTTACTGTAAAGTCTGTTATATTGTTGGTACAAAGAGCCATCTTCTTCCCCTAGGAAAACAAAGTCATCAAGAGGTTTTACTGAAGAGTCATTCTCTAAAGTGGATCTCAAGAGAGCTAATGACTCTAGTAGAGCAGTGGCTCTCTCCTCACTGCAGAGATTCTGCTTTCAATAAAAGGAAGTGGGGCCCAGGCACCAGCATTTAAAAAAAAAAAAAAAAAAAAAAAAAAAAAAAAAAAAAAAAGCTCTTGAGGAATTCCAACGTCTAACCAGGGTTGAGAGTCATTTAAGTTATAACGAATATATACACTCAATACTACACTGCTCATCCAACTACAAGCATCATTTATGCTGATGAAAGCCATCTAATTTAAGGAACTAAAATCATCTACGAAACCGTTGATTCATAGGATAGCAATGCATTCAAAGAGACCAGATAACTCTGAGTGAAGGTTTTAATTCCAAAGGAGAAGACTTGCTCTTCCTTCTCCTTTACCGGCCTATTGTGGCAGAAAGGAAATGTGAAGGCTGAAGAAGAAAGCATAAAAGCCATATTGCAGCAAAATCATAGGACCCCCGTCTAAGTTCTTAATAGTTGGCCACTACATGTGTCTTTACTCAATGACATGTACCTACTCAACTACACAGTAAGTTGAAGAGAATACAGAGATTTACTTTTTTAATCATTTAATCAGTTGGAATATATAAAGTTAAAAGGCTATTTAAATATACTATAGTCCCACTGCAAAAGACCATAGCTTTCTCTACAATGTCTATGAAGGAATATATAAGGGGGAAAAGGACATGATTTTACTGATCTTAGATGTAAAGTAAGCACACATGAGCATAAAGAAAAGAATACAGATTTATCTTTCTTAATGCAGCTAACAATCCAAACTTAAAAAATTTTCTCCCTCTACCAAGCCTTCTCACACTACAAGTACAATATACTTTTACTAAGCTTAAATTAAATGGCTGAAGCCAAGAAGATGAAAACAATGGAAAAGATGAGAGAGAAACTACTGAGGAAAGAAAGAGGTAAACTACAATAAAAGGAATGAGGACAAAAAGGAAAGAAAGAGGACAGAAAAGAAGAGGGGAAAGATGGAAGGAAATACAGTGGTAACACAGGCACAAGAACAAAAAAAAGCATAATATAATGTGTAACTAATCTCATTCACTGCTCCACTCAGTCTTCAACATAACAGGTATTTAATATTTATTTATTTGTCAAATGAACTGAGTAACTAAGCAATAAAGTGTGTTTGATCTCTCCCTGTAAAATCAGGACAGGACAAACACTATACCAAATAAATTTACACATCTTTTTGTCTGAAAACATCTGTGGTCATCAGATCTCTTTTTGTTCCTTTGCACAAAGTGTGGCACAGCATCTCATAATGAAGACCACTGGAGATGCCAAAGTTAATATGGAAAGAAACATGGAGGAAATGCCTTATTACATTTTCATCATTGCTAATGGTGTATACATATACATACTCTCCTACCCCAACCTCATAGATCTATAAAAATACTGGGCATATAGTCCTGTAATTCTTCCCATTACCAGCATTAATTGAGGTTCTGCTTCTTCCCATAGAAAAATAAGATCCCATTATTTATTAGCAGACACTACCTGATCAAGCGACATTTGTCTCCTGCTTACCTCCTTTTTTATTGTTGAATAAACTTCCTCTTGGAAGTCTTTTTCTTTTAAAACGGACGACATAAAGAACAGTAAAACTTTCCCAAACCAAAACTGCCAGACTGAAAAATAGGTGGGATTGACAAGCCTGACCCATTTTTACAAAAAATGAAAGATGCTTCAAGTACCTACACCATAACTCCAAGCTTTGGGCTTCAGTTGGCTAGATAAGTGCCTTGATGAATGCAGAACCAGACAAGGTTGGCCCTGCTGGAGAAAGCTGCCAGCCGGCCTGCTAGGAGGCAACACAGAATTTAAGCAATCACAGCTCAGTTTCTGACATTTGATTGTTAGTTCCCATAGAGATTTTATTGGGCCATCAACACAGAAAATATCAACTCAGGCAAAGCCGAAATACAGCTCCATCTCACTTTGACAGCCAGAACTCACCTCATGCCCACATAAACTAATATTGAAGAAATGGAAGTATTTTGTTCCTTTGGAAGTAAAGCTGGGTCCATTCATTAACGAGCCCACGCTGCTGAGGTTGCTGAAGTCATAGTGCAAACTCTGATTTTCTTTTTCATGGTGGAAAAAGCAGTCACTATAGCAAACTGAGTGGTCCTTTGATTAGAGATTAAGAAATTAAAAAATATACAGCACAAAAGAAAATATTAGCTGCTATGAACAATGTGTTTCCAAAAAGTTCTATGTTTGAAACTCTTTCAGTAATTTTGTCCTAGTTATATTTTACCATACGAATATAGAGAATTTCCAAACACTAATTAGATTTTCCTCGGTAGAGTTCAGGAAAATCAGCATTTCTTAAAAGTAAGAGTGAAGTTACTCCAAAACTAGTTTCTTGTATTAAGGTATTTTAATAAACAGCCTTTTAATAAACAGGTGGACACCCTGTTCCACCAGTGTCAACATACAGGAAAACTACTTTCTCTTTCACCCAAAAATGGCATCAACCTTTGCCCTTAAAATGTTCTAAGATATACTTGTTCTCCATATATTTCTATGCCCCGCCTACAGAGGTAGTTTACTTGCTCTACCTTAACAGAAGACACAAAATATCAATTTTAATATTTTTGGAAGGCATTCTTATTTGAGTGCTTTCCTTACTATTTTATGCCCCCAGGAATTAGGACCTTCATGGCACATATTAAGTGCTTAAGAAATGTTAAGGGCAGAAAACACACACACAAAAATGAAAAAGCCATTTCTAAACATAGCTAGCAACTTTGTAGTTGCCGGAGAAATATTAAAGGGAACTTCTGAGTTTCTTTATGAAGGTGTGTCTTCCCGGGAACAACTGAAATGCACACTCACTTACCTGAGTGCTTCTACTCCCAGGCCCACATGGAATACAAGCCTCCTTGCCATAGACTTGATGTATGGACAGGTAGGTGTCAGGTGGACACTCCTTGCACTGGTTGGTTTCTTTCTCAATGTAGTGGCCTGGGGGGCAGGGGACACACGATGAGCCCGACTGTTCAGAACCGAGGGCACAGGCACGGCATGAGGACGCCACCCCATCAACTGCATTAGTGGCAGTGATAGAATAAATCTTCACCATGTCATTGATGAACCGTCTATTCTAAAAAGAGAGCAGAAAGTAATGACTTCTGCCTTGGGGCTGAGTTGTAAAACCAGAGTGTTTTGTGTTGATATCACCAAAGAACCAAGCAGAGTGTTCCAGCCGAACAGTTTATCAGTGACAATGGATTAATATTATTTCTTCTCAGTTCTTTTAAAAAACAACCTTCGATCTTAACACTAGAAGCTAATTTCCTCAGTAATCGAGTTCCAGGAGTTTAGCCACAATCACTACAAGATCTGTCATAACTGGTACAAACTCAGGCACGTTTATAGGCTTTACATCTGGATGAACTGGTATGGTTTAACAGTGGAACAACTTTATCTCCCATACTTGTTTATTCGGATATAAGCCTAAAAGTAATGATACCATAGGATGTTTGCAGTGTGGCAAGTGGAAAAGCTTTGGACAAGGGAGTAGTCTTGGAAGACCAGGACTCTGGTCCTCACCCAAACACTGTGTAATACTGATGCCATCACACCACCCCTTTGGGACTCTCTCTCCCTCTCTAGTCCTTTCCCTAGCCTATGACTGATTTCCACCAAAAAGATGCATAGTAGAGAGCAAAACCTGGCCCTGACTATACTTTTCCTTCTTCTGACACTGCATCAAAGAAGATCTAGTTCCCACCAGGCAAGGGGCACCACTTTGTCAGTAGACAGCAATGCTAACCGAGACAACTTAATGTTTGTTTCTTGTCTGGGGAAAAGAAAAAAGTCAAGGAAGCATTCCATAGCACATTCATGCCCCGCATTATGGTAATCCAAACACTGGTCAAGAACAATTAGAGTCAAGTAACATCTGGGAATGGGTTCCCTGATGAAAGTCTGAAGAGAAAACAGAAAATGTTCTGCATTTGCTACCACAGCTTTAAGTGTTACTTTGTTTTCACCTTGGATAGTCACGTCTATGGAGATCCACAAAAATAACAGTCCTGCTACTGTTGAAACATACAATGGAATTTACGTACAGGAGAATCAAGGTCTACTCTAGCAGGGAAAGTAAAAGAGAATAAATAATTCTGTGTGTTAACCCACTCATGTGTAATACACACTCTCCAGGCTGTAAAAGGAGACACAACTACAAGGAAATAATAAACTAACACCAGTTGATGGCTCCTGGACAAATGTCAGATCATTCAGAAAAAGAGGAAGACGGTCACCAGCCTTCTCAAAGTCTCAGAAAGCTTTAACAATATGTTTTTAAATAACTACAAAATTAGATTTTGTTTCTCTTAAGCTTTCAGCAAATCTATCTGTTCAGTGGAGAACAATCCAAAGATACACTGTGTTACTCAATCCCATACATTCTTGCTCTCAAAATATATATATACCATTTTTGTACAAATGTACTCCATAACCAAATGATTGATTCTACATCAATAAAAAAACTAAGTCTTTTCCTCCAAGAGATTTGAATGATCATTTTGTATGAATTTCCATTGGGAGCATCATCTTTGTGTTAAAAAAAAAAAAAGTGCGTGGAACTTACATCTTGGCCCTGATTAGTTCTCTGGAATGCCCATGTAAATGTAAATGTTGCATTCTTGAAGATGATGTGGGTATAAGCTTGTTTTTCTTTGGTTCCACCCCATGATTCCACCACGTTGGTACTTTTTCTATTAATATCCTAAAATATAGTAGAAAAATATAAACAAAAAAGGCATAAACTCAGTATGGATATACATATGTATACACTACAAATATGTGTGTATTTACAGTAATCCCTGTAAGGTTAGTGAATATTTATCTGGAGGGCACATAACTCTAGAGCTCTCAAAACATGCTTCAAGTCTACATAAGCACTCACTAGCTTATTAATTACAATTTTTAAACTACGTTGTCAATGTAACCTGAAAGAGGTCTCAAATTATAGTATATTTAAGGGTGTGTGTGTGTGTGTGTGTGTGTGTGTGTGTGTGTGTGTGTGTGTCTGTGTGTGCGCCTACAAGCATATGACTCTAGCTTAGGAAATACACTTAGAAGGGAAATGTAATTCCTCAAACTTCTCACAGTAAACTTCTAGAACCCTCACAGAATAGCAAGGTTTTCCATGTTTATCTTTTTTCGTTGAGAGATTCTGCCAGGCAGGTCTTGCACAGGAATTATAAGTTCCCCCTGAACTATACTTGCAACTTCCAGGCTTCCCCAAGTGCAGACTAACCAGAACATTATTTTAAGTTCATGAAATCTTCTCCTGCTTAAACCTGAATTCCAAAGGATAATTTTGTATCATATTTTATTTCTGATTTCCTTAGCTAAATTCAATATTCAGAATAATATACAAAGGTATAACATTTCAACCAATATGCTGTCATTAATGTGGTGAGAAGGCAAATATAGTAAGTCAACCGATGTAATATGCATCTAATTAATTTGAAGTGAAAACTTCAGCTAACCTTAAATTTTCTAATTAGTGTTGACTGCAGAAACCTTAACAGAGGGCTTAGAAATTTGGATGGGCTTCTGTTATCTGGGATGTTGACAATACAGTGGCATGAGCTCAAAATATGTCTGTTTCTTTCTATGATGTAAACATAGGAGTCAAACATTATAACGTAATCAAATATGGTACAAAGATATGTGTCTTGAGTTCACACCACAGAAAGGAATAACAGAATGTGTTTGTCATACATTGCAGAACTTCCCCAGCTTACTAAACAACCAAACCAGGATACATGCCACTTCCTAAAAGAAGCTCATACAACACAGATAGTGCTTTGTTAAACACTATCTTTCTAGATGCTTATTCCAATAATGAAAGGAACTTATTGCATTATTGCAAATAATAGCGTCTTACCTCTGTAAAACACTGCATGATTCTGACAGCATTCCTATATGCTATTTAATGATATCACAAAAAAATCCTATGAGAAAACCAAATCTAACAGAGAGGAAAGAAAATGAGCAGATTCTGCTATGAGCTAAAAACTATAAGGTTGATTCATGAAAATAAATACCTGTGATCCCTACCCTCAAGAGTGCTTGGCCAAGTGAGAGAGACAAAAACATCAATACAGTCACATGACTAAAATAGAGTTTTCTTGAAGGGTTTCAGGAGCACACTGGAGAGAGTGGCTAATTTTACTTAAAGGATTGAAAGAAAGCTTCCCAGAAGACGAGACGTTTGAGCAAGGCTTGAAGGGGACAAAAGGGGAAAAGGAAGAGTGTTATTCTGGCTTAGAGTGTCAAGGCATGAGAACTGAAGTACAGGGTGTTCCTGTAACAAACTCAGGGTGTCTACAGAGATGTGAGTAGTAATAACAGTAGGCTTGGTAACAGAGGCTGGGCTAAGAGTACAAAAAGCCATATAGATATCATGCTAAGGAATTTTAAGTGTATTCAAAGGCTGCTAGTTCTTAAAACTGAGTTGATGTTAGGACTACTCCCATGGCTGGTTAAAATACAGATTTAGTCTCATTACAACTAGGATGAAGCTCAGAAAGCTACATTTCTAACAAATTCTCAGGTGATGCTGGTCCAGGGACCATACTTTAATAACCATTGCCACAGGCAATAAAAAAACCACCAAGGGAAAGTAGGTAGATTTGATGTTGAGGCCTCTAATAGTGTTTGTATGTTTATAAAGATAATTTTGATAGCAGCATATATGAGAGAATTGAGAAAAAAGAATAGAGACTGCTGTTGAGAAATAATGGGAGTCTGGATTTCAGCAATGGCACCAAGGATGAAGAGGATTTAAAGGGTTAAAGAAATCGGCAGAGCTGGGAATTGAATATTTATTGCTTATTTGTGGTGTAATAAATGGATGTGTTAAAGATAATTCATGATCTTCTTTTACCACTACAAAGTCAATTTTTCTTTTTCAGAACAAAATAGTCTGCCTTCCTTTAATCTGGTAGTAATCACAAATATTTAAATCTTCATCTTGTATATCATGTAGGAAATTGTTAATAGCCTGTTAATGAGCTGCTAAAAGACTATTGGGAAAAAAAGCAAAAACAAATCATGTCTATGAAGTCACTTCTTACAGTGCTAAAATCCTAGCCAACAACCTAACAGCCACATGAGGTCTTAATAAATTTTGTGTTGCTACTTTTATCAACCTAAGACTTGAAATATATGGGCATCAAGAAAAAGTAGGTGAAATTAGAACATGCACAGAGTAAAGTCCTTTGTCTACATTTATTAAACTTAACAATGAACAGTTTTCTTTCTTCCTGATGCCTTACACTCCCATTATATTCTACCTTCACTTTATTAATACAGGTTTTTCCCTCCTGATGGTTTGAAGTACTGAATGGTTATTAGAGACGAATTTTTCATTGTGCTGGTGGCATATTTTTAGGAAGGAATTTTTACCAGATTAATATTCCCTGACTTCCGTCAATTGCCCAAGCCCCCTCACTCAGTCTTTCCCATGAAGAACACAAGCTTTCTTTGTGGGTTACACTGCACATTTCTTAGTGACTTCTTTAGACATTTAAAAAAAAAATTTTAATGTTAATTTACTTTTGAGAGAGACAGAGTGTGAGTAGGGGAGGGGCAGACAGAGAGGAAGACACAGAATCCGAAGCAGGCTCCAGGGTCTGGGCTGTCAGCACAGAGCTCAATGCAGGGCTGGAACTCAGGAACCGTAAGATCATGACCTGAGTGGAAGTCAGAAGTCAGCAGCTCAACCGACTGAGCCACTCAGGTGCCCCTAGATATTTTTTAATTTTTTGGAAGGGCCTAAGAATGGGAAGGAAAATGGAATTCTTATCCCAACTTGCATAAATGAATTGACACTTGAAAGAAAACGCTAAGCTTAGAAACCCGCCTTTGAAAGCCTCTCTTTCACTTACCACCATGAAATACAGAACACAGTCAGCCGAACAGAGGGTCTCAAAGACAAATGTTATTCTTCCAAGTTCAGAACCCATGGCTCCAGTCATAGATGTTGGTGGTCTAGTTGACAGATTAAAATTACAATATTTATAGTATTTTGTAAATACAATATGGAACAAAACTAAGTCACTTTTTCTATTAAGCTTTGAAAGCCATGCTCATCTCTTCTAATCAATGGCTGCCTCCAGCCACAACTTCTTCCTCACTCAATCTCTGCACACCCATACCATTCCAGTAGTCTACACAACCATGTTAATGTGCTTGAATCTCCTACTATAAATACTACCATCCATTCTAAAGCAGGAAAAAGATGCCTTACTAGGAAGCTTCAACATGGGGAACTAAACCTAAATGGGATTTAAAGAGTTATGGGGCGCCTGGGTGGCGCAGTCGGTTAAGCGTCCGACTTCAGCCAGGTCACGATCTCGCGGTCCGGGAGTTCGAGCCTGGCGTCAGGCTCTGGGCTGATGGCTCAGAGCCTGGAGCCTGTTTCCGATTCTGTGTCTCCCTCTCTCTCTGACCCTCCCCCGTTCATGCTCTGTCTCTCTCTGTCGCAAAAATAAATAAATGTTGAAAAAAAAATTAAAAAAAAAAATAAAGAGTTATAACATACTACTTTACAAAGAAAACTGAGAGAAAAATAAATATATAAACCAAAGGATACTCCCATAAACTACTTGGACTAAGACCTCTTCATTAAGCATCCAAGAATCATGGTCATTGTAACATTTGGACAGAATTAGTGTTAAAAGCTTTGAGCTTCATCTAAGTAATATACAACTAACAGTTATAATTTCTCAATCACCAATTTTACAGATATTCTTAAATGTAATACATTATCCTATAACAACCTGTTACTTGCTAAGTCTGTCACAATGTAAGTATATGTTATGAAGGCAGTCATACTTCAACTATTTCTAGAGGGAAGCAGGCATGAGGATTCTTACAGAAGGGAATCAGAATTGGTTTTCCTTACTTAAATCCTGGGATATGCAAGTTTAAGATCAGGTAATCATTATCCGAACCTCCAGCCCCACTCTGGATATGATCTCCAGCCACCTCCCAACCTGGAAATGAGATAAGGCATCTTTATCAGTAAAAATTCCGTTAATGATTTCCAACAACCTTTTTAAATAAGGTTTAAAAAACGGACTACTGGTGCTTACGTTCAAAGTTAGAAATACTCCCCCCAAATTCCCTATTTTTACATTGCAGTAGCAAATTACATGCAGAGGTAGACTCCTAAATATCAATAGACATTCTATATGATTCCTCAGGAAGAATCAAGTAATACATACTTTTGCACCGAAGCTATTCAATGAGAAAACTAACAAGTTTTCTCAATCAGGCTTTTATTTTTTTAACTAAAACAGATGGTCTTTATCCATTCTAATAAATTGAGATGGAAAATCTTATTCTTCAGGTAACCAACGGAAACTAAAAATGTCAAATTACTTAATGAAGATTTGGGGTCCAGTGTTCTTTCTTATAGTTTGCTATATTATTGTTCCCTAATTTAAAACTCCTGTTCTGCCTTCATTCACTTATTTATTTACTCAAGTGGCATGCACTGAGTGCCAGGAACCATGCAGTAGGGGTAGAAAGACAAGACCGGGTCTACACTCACTGAGGAGTCAGGAGAATAAAAGAGAGAAAGGCGCATGCTAACAACTGTCAACAGTATAGTTGCAGCTGCACATAGAAGGTGATGGAAGGTCTGTCCTCTGCACAGAAACAATCAATATACTATAGGCTGAAAGGGGCCTCTTACATAAGGAAAGGAGAAGCATCCCCACACACACCATTATTTACTTGTTTTTAGAAATTCTATTTAAATTTATTACAAAATTTTGAAAGCCACAGAAAAATTGAGAAATGAAAATTAAACGTACTTTTAATAAAATAAATAAAACCAGCGTTAACATTTTGAGGAGTTTCTTTTCACTATCTTTTGATGCACACGTTTTTACATCACTGAGCTCTTACTGTTGATAACATTTTGTGCCATGGTTTTATATGGTAACATTACTGCATATGCATTTTATCCATATACTTTACTAACATATTTATGACTGAATTAATAGTTTATCATGAGACAGATATAATTAATGTCTATAATTTACCAAATCACACTACTTGATTTATCTCCTTGTTTTTTTTAAGTTTATTTATTTATTTTGAAAGAGAGACAGAGAAAGAGAGAGAGAGAGAGAGAGAGGCAGAGAGAGAGTCTCAGCAGGCTCTACACTGTCAGTGCAGAGCCCAACATGAAGCTCAAAACCACAAACTGTGAGAACATGACCTGAGCTGAAGTCAAGAGTCAGATGCTTAACCAAGTGAGCCACCCAGGTTCCCCTGGACTTACCTCCTTTTGACCACACATCCAATTTAACCATTTGGGTTGTTTTTACCTTTTAGCTAGTATAAATGACACTATAATACTAAACCTATTTTTGGTAAAGTTTTTCTGTATTTGTCTAGAAAAGAATCTCAGTAAAAGAATTACTAGGTCAAATAAATATATTTTTAAACCAGTATTCTGTGTTGTTACCGTGACTTGGAAAGCAATGTGTGCCAAGGAGGAATGTTTATTAAAAATGGTAAAACTATGGGACACTGGGTAGCTCAGTCAGTTAAGCATGTGACTCTTGATTGAAGCTCAGGTCACAATCTCACGGTTTAGAAAATTGAGTCCCACCTCAGGCTCCATGCTGACAGCACAGAACCTGCTTGGGATTCTCTCTCTCTCGTCTCCTCCTCCCACTCGCATTTGCCTCCTGCTCCCACTCGCATTTGCATGCTTTCTATCAAAATAAACAAACAGGGGCGCCTGGGTGGCTCAGTGGGTTAAGCGTCCCACTTCGGCTCAGGTCACCATCTCGTGGTCCGTGAGTTCGAGCCCCGCGTTGGGCTCTGTGCTGACTGCTCAGAGCCTGGAGCCTGTTTCAGATTCTGTCTCCCCCTCTCTCTCTGGCCCTCCCCTGTTCGTGCTCTGTCTCTGTCTCAAAAATAAATAAGCGTTAAAAAAATTTTTTTTAATAAAATAAAATAAACATTTTAAATAAATAAATAAAATAAAACTAAACGAAAAAAATGAAACAATTCATACTTCCTTGAAACTTCCCACTTCCAAGTGATGGCCTCTTAACATTTCAATGTATTTCTTTTCAATCATTTTTCTAGTACACACTTTAAATAGACCTTAGATTTTACTATTTACTCTATTTTCTGATTTTTTCATTAGCAATGTCTTCTGATTTTTCTATTATTATATTAAAAACATTTCCCCATCTAATTTTAATGATTCAATAATATATGGTATGCTTACAACATAATTTTATTTAATTATATCCCATTGTTGAAAATTTAGTTTTTCTCCTAAGTAACACTAAAGTTAACGTATTTTTCCATAATTTCTCTCTTCACATCTTCACAATGTTTCCCTCATATAAATTCCCAGAAATAGAATTAATGGGTTGGAGAATAGGAACATTCAAAATTCTTGAAACACTGTCAAAGTGTTTTCCGTATGACTGCCATTTTTAATGCTTGTATAACATCTGCTTAGTAATGCTTTTAATGCTTGTATAACATCTGTAATAACATCTGATTAGTACAGCATAACCTTCATAAACATCATCTATCGCCGGAATGACCATTTCAAATTTTGTTACCACAGAAAATGCTCTATGAACACCTTCATGGATAAACAGTAACTTGTCTCCAATTATAGGTAACTCTTAGACAAACTTCCAATACATGAAGATTTACTTCTGCATTATCTCTTCTACGACTGTGTAAAACTCAGACTGACAAGACATGAATCTCAAAGTACTCCAAATCACACAATCAAGCTGGTCAAAACACATCTATGTGAACCCCATGACTGGGTGACTACCTCATGAAACAGGCTGTTCCTGGGCCTCTCACTTAAGGTCCCCCTTCTTTTCAATGCTACTCCTCTCAAAGATTGATATTGAACTGTCCAGACACAAAAATACACATCACCTTTTCATCTTTATTTTTGTATTGTATTTTTCACATTACTATTTGCTATTCTAATATCACATACTAATACGGCAGAGATGTCTATTTCTCAAATTAATAGCTGAATATTCCTGAAAATTAGCAAAAATATAAATTTTAGCCTCTAAGTAAAGGAGAGAATAAGTGGCTATCAAGTAGTGTCATGAGACTTAGACTAAATTCTCTAAAAGATCAAATAAAAGTTCCAGATAGGGTTGCCTGGGTGGCTCAGTCGGTTAAGCGTCCAACTTCAGCTCAGGTCATGATCTCGCGGTTCACTGGTTTGAGCCCCATGTTGGGCTCTGAGCTGACAGCTCAGAGACTGGAGGCTGCTTCGGATTCTGTGTCTCCCTCACTCTCTGCCCTTCCCCCACTTGTATTCTGTCTCTCTCAAAAATAAATAAAAAACATTAAAAAAATTTTTTAAATGTTCCAGAAGATCTTTACAAATGAATACACACACACATACACACACGTGCGCACGCGCGCGCGCGCACACACACACACACACACACACACACACACACACACACTCCTATCAATGCTTTCATGAAATCATTCAATTCCCTGGCCTTTCCATCTTATTTTTCCTCCATAGGTCTTAACTTCCTCAACTTAGAATTCAATCCAGGATCAACATACACCTTCATGGTCAGGTAATAACTACTCTATTGTTTCTTCTTCTTAGGATAATTTCCTAGAAATGGGATTAGTAGTCAATAAAGAAAGTATTTCATAATGTTTAATATATATTAAGGCTTTTTCTTTCCCACTCTCACTCATGCTTAACCAACATTATTCAAAGACCTACGGCTTTTCAATCTTTGTGTTCATGTATTCACCTCACTTCCCACATCCCAAGTTTATTTATTGCAGATAGGTACTGATTTAAAACAGATGCAACTATAAAGAACTTTTTTAAAACAAAATATAAAATGGGGAAAAAGTGAGCTCATAAAAATTTCTAATGAGATGATAAAAGTAAAAGGATGTATTTTGGTGTAAAACTCTATTACTTGTGACACCTACTGCGAGCATCAAGTTCAAAAATAAACACAGGTGGGGCACCTGGGTGGCTTAGTCAGTTGAGCATCTGACTTTGGCTCAGGTCATGATCTCATGGTTTTTGAGTTCAAGCTCCAGACAGGGCTCACGGCTGTCAGCACAGAGCCCACTTCGGATCTTGTGTCCCATTATCTCTCTCTCTCTCTCTCTGCCCTCCCCCACCTGTGTTCTCTTTCAAAAATAAACAAACATTTTAAAAAATACACACATAGATACTGTCACTCATTCAACCAGCAAATATTGCAGAACAAATAGGTGCTAGCCTCTCTCGGGTCTTAAAATTGTAGAACAAATAAAATTTAGCCACCATCTTACATAGTATTCTGTCACACTTGCAAGTTTTCAGTAAGTAGGGTTCATACATATTTTGTACACACAGTCACAGATTTCACAGGGAAGGGGAATCAGAGATGATTTCACCTCTCAATACAGCTCAGTGCTGAGCCAAACTCAACAAATCCTGGAAGAAATGCTGTCATACTACTCTTCAAAATGGCAAATGACATAAGTTTTATTACATCCCTCAGTGATCTTATTCTGGTATTTATAACCATAAATGATGATCATCAGTATCTACTTCAAAACTGACTCCAAAGAAATGCAAAATAGTTCATATTCTTACAGAAAAGTCAACTGGCTCTGACACCACATTTACTATTTTGATGTGAGGGCTGGAAGACAGACACGTAGCCAACTGATAAGATTGAGGTTCCTCATACCCATATATGGTATGTTTCTTAGAGACCTGGGTCCAAAAGTCTCTATTACCCAAATACATTCATTAGGTAGGTGAATTCTGAACTCACCATTCATTCCGTCACACTTTGAATTCCCAACATTAAAGCAGGAAGTTTTCATGTTGCCAGGAAGGACATTCCACCATTTGTATTCAAACCCAAGCGCAGGCTCCATTCCAGCGGGACACGGCCTACATTCTACAAGAGACAGGTGAAATAAACAATTACAATTAAACCACATCTGGACATCTTCCTCTTCCTCTAAGGACTACTAAACTTTAATTAGCAAAAAGGGAAGTGGGAAGGAGAGATACTAGAGCGCCAATTCGCTTAAGAATTAATAACTTTCTCTAGGGGCGCGTGGGTGGCTGAGTGAGTTAAGCATCCAACTTCAGCTCAGGTCATGATCTCGCGGTTCATGAGTTCGAGCTCCACATCGGGCTCTGTGCTGACAGCATGGAGCCTGGAGCTTGCTTCGGATTCTGTGTCTCCCTCTCTTTCTGTTCCTCCCCTGTGTGTGCTCTCTCTCTCTCTCTCCCAAAAATAAATAAACATTTAAAAAAAAAAAAGAGTAACTTTGCCAAAGAAATCTGCAACAAAAAATATTTCTGCATATAGTTTACCCTATACACTTGACTCGCATGAAAAAAGGAAAAGGCTAAATATGAAATATTTTAAAATTACTTTTTCCTTAAATCTGAGAGTAACTGATAATATCAAATCACCCTCCACAAGAAGGGTAATCTGAAACTAGTTATCTTATATGTGACCTTAGAATCAGTTCCATCTACCTTGCAAGCAAGGAAATATTTCAACTTTCCTATTGTTTATTAAACTTAACAGAGTATTATACCATGTAATTATGGACTGATTACTTGAAATTCAAAATACTCACTATGTTGAAAACTAATCATAGTTGTTGAGAGATATGGAAAGAGGCAGGTTTATAAATAAACCTGATTCAAATTAACATCTGCAACAATGAAATGGAAGGATCCTTCCCAACCATTTCCGAATTTGCCCAACACACTTTGCATTAATCACATCAGTAGAGAGAAATATTTACTGAGCAAACACTTCTTGATACCAAAGTACTACTATAGGACACATTTTTACATAACCTGGTCAGTGATAATGAGCTAGATGTTATTATCCACAATTTTACAGATGGGAAAATTGAGGTTCAAAAGGTTTAAGTAACTGGGGTGCCTGGATGGCTCAGTCCGTTAAGTGTCCAACTCTAATTTTCAGCTCAGGTCATGATCTCACGGTCCCTGAGTTTGAGTCCTGTGATGGGCTCTGTGCTGCTGGTACAGAGCCTGCTTGGGATTCTCCCTCTCTCTCGCTCTCTACTCCTTCCCCACTTGTGCTTTCTCTATCTCTCAAAATAAGTAAACTTAAAAAAAAAAAAGGTTTAAGTAACTTAGATCAATCATACTAAATGTCACCTATAGGATGTGGATTCAAAATGAAGTCAATTAGACTCCTGAGTCCTTCTTATGCCATCTATCACAGGCTCTAGATAGTAAATATATGGCATGGCTATATTCAAGTGAGATGGCTATAACTGAAATGCATTTTAATTTTTGTCTATGAAAATTAAAAAACTCTGTATACTATTTTCTAAATTATTCGATATACACTAAAACTTTCCCAACTGTACACTCTGAAACAACTTAGAGACTATTTTCACTGCCATGTGATCGAGAAATTTTTGCTATTATTATAGCACAAAATGTAAATTAGAGGAGGTTATGTTTTATGCTTGCATTCACATATGTGTACACTCTCACCAAAAAATGAGTGCTTATCCTTAATCAGTTAATATGGTGGAATTTTTATCAATATCAAAGGAAGAGTCATCCCATTAAGAGAATATTACACATATTACACAAGATGCCCCTAGAAAGCTATCCTTGGTATGCTAAAGAAGACCTCATCTCCTAATTCATTATAATATTTCTCAACTCTCCTGAGATAAGTATGTTTTATAAGTCTTCCATAAAAACAGTTAACAAGGTCACAATAGTCCAGCAAGATTATTTGGCTAAAGGTCCAATTCTTTGACCAATTGGCATCCTACCCTTTGTTCCATCCGAAAATGTTCCAGGAGGGCAGGGATGGCAAGAAGATGATCCATTGTTATAAAAGCCAGGGTTGCAAGGTGGACAATCCTTCTTCTCTCCAGAAGGGGGCAACCTAATAGCATCCGTGACATCCTCCCGGCAGATTTTGGGCTCTATCCACTTGTACATAATTTGTGTCTGGGAGGGGGGAAAGGGGGAGGTAGGGAACAAAACAAAACAAAACTTGCAGGTGATATAAAATTGTATCTTTCCTTTAAATTTCCAATAACAAAAAGTGTTAAACATAAAGCCTAGGAAGAGTCACACAGTGATAGAAGGGCCAGCTGAAAAGAATCTAAAACATTAGTAACAAAATGAGACAAGAAAAACCTTTGGTGGGAGAATGACTGTTACTTCCAAATGTTTTCACTATGAGCTACAGGTGGCCTTACCTCATTCATACAGCAAGTTCCTCATTGTGGAATTCCTCTTTAAAATATAGACACATGAGTATAACCCTTACTCTTCTAGCTACTCATTCGCTCTATTCCATAACCAACATATGTTTCTATTCAGACACTACTTTTCTCATTTGGAGATCTCCACCGCCCTCTTCCTCCCCCTCACCCCCCAGCACATAACACCAGGCTTAGCACAACGTGATCACAAAAGAACAGATTCATCTTTTTAAGAAGACTATGGCATTTCACAAATACATGTGGTTGCTCTCTGAATCTTTGTCTACCTGATGTTAATCTTCAAGAGCCATACCTAAAATATTTCTAATTCTGGGCCCTGTTACAGGTACTTCTAACATTATGGCTAACACAGCCTCTACTTTAACAGACAGTCATCTTTTAGACCTCATCCTCTCATATTCTCTCTCACACATACATACACCCTTACACAGCACAAAATACAACAAAATAGCTGTAACTCAGCCAAACCCAGAAAGTTATGGTTATAAAATTACTCTCATTTTGAAACCAGAAATATTAAATGGGTTACCCATTCACAAACAAAATCAATATACTCGGTAAAGGGGAAAAAAGGTATTCTAAATGCAAAGAGAAAAATCATTTCTTTCATAACTGTAGTTTTTAAAAAGAGACTCAGTTTCCTTCAATAGGTATATAATCCAGTGAATCTTTCTCCTTTAAAACAATTTTTGCAATAATAAGTCTAATACTGAAGCTGGAGAAACAAAATTAAAGGTACTTGTCTATGGTTATTTCCAGTTAATAAAAAATTATATAGCATATCCTTTAGACTACTCAGTTTTATTCTCAAGTATTCTCTTACAGAAGAGCAAATTACCTGATCTGAAGAAGGACGCTTAAGAAAAAGGTTTAAAAGGTAGCTGTCTCAACAGAACTATAAATAACATGTTTTTCCTTTTACAACTCTCTCTTCCTGCATTCATTTTATGGCCCACATCATGATACAGTTTAACCAGCCACTGCACCCATATGCCTCCCTCTTCCCATCTGTAAAATGATGGCCGCTCCTGCTGAAACTTCCTCAACAGCTAAGATAATAAACTAGATCCTGTATCCCGCAGGGGTTCTCCACTCCCCTGAAGAAAGGGGGAGTCTAAAATTCTGAGAATAGAAGCAAATGAAACATCATTATATTGGGGGATGGTCTTTTTAGAATTCTGGCTCAGCATGTATAGAAAACAAATTTTCAACCCAATCAATTCACAAATTCGCTGACCTATTTGGACATTCATTAAAATTCCATCACGTTAGGTATGACCTACCGCACTGTTGAAAATAGGTGGGTCCCACGTGAGAGGAGGGGTGGGGTGGTGCTAACCTGAGCATTCGCACTGATTTTGGGGGCTCACCTCGTAATCCTCCCCACCACTTTGGGAGGTCAGTATTATTATCCTCAAGTTCATAAATGAGGAAGCTGTGGATAAGAACCGTGAAACAACTTGCCCAAGAATTAGACACAGCTAGTTAACAGTAAAGTAACACTAGTCAAGAAGAGCCAGTTGGGTTAGGGTAAAAATAGTAAAATACGCAAATATATTTTTGACCAAGTCAGCTGACCACCTGCATTTCAATCCAAGCACAGTAAATGTTTAAAAATTAGAAAATGTGCACTATCTTTAAATGTAAACATTTAGAAGCCAAATTTCGAATGCTCTATAGGAAAAGTTTTGTTCACAAAGCCTCTTGCTTCACATGGCAGATTGATTCTGTGCCTCCCTTTCTAATGGGGACAGATGCTCTCAAGTGGAGCTGACTGGGGAAAGATAATAATTAATATAAATGATACCGAGTGCCAGATGGCTCACAGCACAGGTAAAAAACCAACAATCAACTCATTCTTTGGCAAGTTGAGACAAAATCATGAAACATTTTATGAAAAAAAAAAACCCCTCATAAAACAAAACTCATCAAACGGGCAGTAAGATTAGAGAAGATCTATAGTGTCTGACTATATTACGCAGGAATAAAATACTTTTTAGAGAAATACATGGAGGTATCAATTCTCATGTCAAAATAAAATTCAAGACTGGGAAGACTAAATTTAGACAGATTTTGAGACTGGATTTGTCCACAGTTGTCAACTTTCTTCCTGCAAATGTCCCTGTACAGAAGCACCAGGGCTTGGTAGACTGGCTGAATTCATTAGAGCTAAATTCCATGGTCTTTAAAAGTCTATCAACCGCTACTCCAGCCTCACTGCCTTCTGCTCCTATGATGTTCTAACTTGTATGTTCCCAACTAGGCAGACTATTACTCTCCTTCCTGCCTTTTCCAACCTTCCATCTTTTCCAGGGGTGAGACACTGAGCCCTCATCACTTTGTCTCTCCAACATGCCCACACCATTCTGCCAAGTTGTGTCCAACCCCTCCTTCAAAGACATGCTCTGAACTTGTATCAGGTAAAATTTCATGATAGTCTCCTTTAAAATATTTTTTTTCAACACCCACACACGCTCTCACCATGTGCCCAGCTCCCCAACTACATACCAGCATTCACCTGGATTCCTTATCTGTGAAAGTTCTAATGTTTTCTGTTTTCCCTTGTGGTTATGTCCTTGTCCCCTTTCTAAATGCATCCAAGCTTGGGTCCTCTTCTACCTTTATGTGGAAGACACTCTGGGGATTGAACACTGTACCGGACGTTCTAGCTCCGGCTTTAGAAAATGTTCTAAAATTAGATTGGGGTGAAAATATTAAAAACACTGAACTAAGGCTTTAAATGGATACATTGTGTGATATGAGAATTCCATCTCAATAAAGCTGTTAAAAATATTTTAAAGAAGACTATCATGAAATTTTATTTTATACAGATTTAGAACTCTTTAATCACTGGGAAATGCCATGGTCTTTTCCCGTCATCCTAATTCAGAAACAGAGTTTCCAATTATATTTGACTTGCTTAAGCCATATAGGAAGGAAGGCAGTTATAAAACCCATATCCCTTTATACCCTATTTTTTAATGTCCCCTACATCTTACCCTTGCCATACAATTCACAAGTACTGAGTAAGAGACAGTGAGCATTTGGAATAACTTAGAACACTGAAGTTCATTAAAGGGCAAAGAAAATACTAGACAAATTCCACCAATTTCCTAGCCTCAGAGATGACTAAGTTGCACAGTCTAATGTCCCCTCTCAACAAGGCTTCCTTCTAAACCATCCTGTCCTGCCAGGCACCCTTCTAACCCTGGCAGTAAGTTTCCTCTATGACAAAACATCAGAACAGTATGTGTCAATGGAATTTACCTTCTATAAAGTCGCCCAAATTCTGCCTTATGGAATAACACAGAAAAGTCTATTTCTTCATTTCTACGATTTCCCTCCTAATGCTTTAGCTTACTATTAAGGAAGTTTTCATTAAGTACCTACTGGGAGAAAGTACTGTGGGGAATTTAAATATTAATAAGACAAATTTTTTTTTTCTGAAGGTGGCTACAGTCTAATAATGATAAGACAGGTTCACAAACTACTTTAACATAAAAAAAAAAAAAAGAAAATACTTGAAGAGAATACAAAAGCATTGGATTTGGAAACAAACATGATTAGAATTCCAGCCTTAAAACTTACTAGCTCTGGCTACCTATAACCTTACGGAAATTACTTTAACTTCACCAAGCCTCAGTTTTCTCATCTACAAACTGAGTATGTCTAAATTGCATAGCTGTTCAGAAAAATAATTAGAGGCAATGTTTGAATACACATGCATGCACAGAGTGTGCACGCAATTGTGTAAATGACAGATGCTTCTGCTATTAATACCATCATTTCTATTACTATCATTATTGTCACCACCATCATTTGAAACATGAGATGTAATGGATATTCAAAGAGATGAAATCTCTTTGGGACAAGCAGAAAATGTCAGAAAGATGACCAAAATTCCTCCATCCCATGGTGTCTTTTCTTCAACTTGAAAAAATATTACCAGCAACTTCAACCATATTTCCTATCAAAGAGTTTAATATCCTGACCCCTCTACTTTAGATTCTTCCCGTTTTGTCAAAATTATTTTGAGCCCTTTGCCAAGGACAGAACACAACTCTGTAACTGTGTTAATCATTCATTCACTTACTAATTCTCTTATTTATGAATTAATTCAAAACATGCTTCATTATCTTCTATATTCCAGGTACTCTACTAGGCTTAGAGATTTTTTTTTTCTTTTTAAGTGATTAACAACACATTTCTGTCTACAGGAAGCTGAGAGTCCGGCGAAGGAAACAGTCATCTTTACAAGAACTGTGTTTGCAATAAAGTGAACTGATACCAAAACACTAGCAAACCTTCTATGACCACTGATGAAACTATCAGGAGAGGTATGCAAAAAATTCTGTGGCAATTCCCAGTATATGAAGACAACCTTGCCATGTCTATTCATGTTATTTAAGAGCAGAAGAGTTCTGTGAAACTGCACAGAATCACTCTCTTTTCAGTGTGGTAAGAGATATCATCTTTTCCTCCTTAGGAACTGACTTGTGTGACACTGAGAGGAAAAGGGAGTTATACAGTCCAGCTGCCCAGCCACAGGGATCAGTCAGTGAACGAAGCTGTCCAAACAGAGTATCCCACGCTAGTGGACAGAATGGCTGGTCTGAGGTTGGCTCACGATTCAAGCAGGACTAGTAAGAGTCTTTTCTGAAACTTGTTCAGTGCCTCCCTCTGATCAAAAGCTGTGAGGATGATAGTGGAGAAGCCAAC